CATGAACTACCCCGCCTGGGAGTGGTGGATTATCCATGACTGGGAGTGGTGGAGTAAAATTCCGTCATTGGAAGTTCTTGGTACAATGACCGAATTGGACAATTGGTACAGTCCACGGACTTGGTACAATTCAGTCATTGGCAGTTCTCGGTCATTGGAAGTTGTTGGAGATTCCAGCTCCCCCGTTTTCCCTGAATTTGGATGGACACGCGTCATGATCAGGGAAGCTAACCCAGGAGATCTGGAGTATAATCGAAAGAATCATCGAATCTCGAGATGTTTTTGCCAAAGGCGTTCTTTTTGTTCCTCCAAAATCTTCCAAACGAAGAAACAGAACATCCACAACCGCGCCGGCGAGTTTTCTCGGGATGTTTTGGATGAAAGTCACCAGAACCAGACTTTTCTTCCACAGAAGTGCTATAAAGCAGACCCAGCTTGATTGCCCGTGTTCTGCGTCCAGGCGGATGAGGGCCTTCTCCAGGTGCGGAAGGGACGTTTGTGGTGCCGGGTGAAGAAGATGGATATTCTTATCTTGATTGAGAAGGAGTTCGGAATTCGTATCGCTTACAGAGACTAAACTTCTTCCATAGGAAAAAACGACTGGGCGGCGTTTGGTGCACAGTTCTGTGCCATGATTCTTTTTCCCGTTTTGTTCCATTATTTTCTGCAGCAAGCGGCCCAAATTGGTGAGAGTTGTCAGGGTGGGAAGAGATCTATATCTGTGTCCTATTTCGACGGAACCTGAAGTGCTCGTGACGTCTGAAAAGCGTTGAATGGCCACCTCTAGCAGTGTCACCCACTGCTGATGAACCAACCTACCTCGAATTGTCCTGCATCTTGGAGATTTTTTGCGAGTTCCTCTGATCTTCCAATGGTTTTCCCTGAAATGCATGCTTACCCATGCCATATATGTACCCAGACAGCCAGACTCAGTCATCAGCCTTTTTTCGCCGAACATGCGGGTCTCTTTGAGGGAACCATGGAACGTGGATCAATTGGGCGGCTTCCAAAACGGGGCGAGGGCGCGAGACGTCGTCCATCGCAGCCGTGGGGCGAGCTTCTATCGTCTCGATGAATCCCGAGTCCCAGCGACGAAGGAATTTGGCGGTCAAAGCCTGCACCCTGGTTGACCGCGAGGTAGTGGCACAGTTTCCAATAAAATTGAAAGGGACAAACGGATTCTACTTTTCTATCTAGTTTGGGGTCTGTCCATCTATCTATCTATCTATCTATCTCTATATATTATATTAATCTTATTATATTATATGATATTATACTATATTATATTGTATTATATATATACATATATGTTCGGGCTGTCAACCAAACCGGTTTGGGGCTCGGGAGGTTGACTTCGCTTTCATTTCGGTCGACCGTTTCCGCCCGGCTTTGGGACTCGCCCGGTGCCCACGGTCCGGTCCGGGGGGAGTTTTAGTCGACGAAGCCACCCGCATGAAGGTTAATTTAAGGCACTTGTTCCTAATAGCTTCTTGTTACTACTAGTAAGGCACCTGTTACTACTAGCGATGCACTTGTTACTACTAGCGAAAGAACCAGAAAGGAACTCCTATGTAAACCGTAAACCAGCCGTGAAAGACGCGCAACGCGTGTATCTGGATGAAAGACGCGTCGCCCCCCATACCAGCCGTGTATCTGGATGGAACTCCTATGTAAACCAGCCAGTCGCTGGCACCATCCAGTCGGCAACTGGGCTGACGAAGGGACGGACGTCACCAGAAGCATAGCTGGCGACACGCGGACACGTGGCGCTTCTGGGTTTTGGTCGGGGTCCTTGGTAATCAAAGACTATCAACAGAATGGTCTGACGAACGGGTTCGGGGGTCACCAGCAAATCGTCGAACTGGGCAGCTTTCTTTCATTCGACATCACATCCAGCAAGCAGCGTGTCAAGACTGTTTCGTGTCATCTGCCAGGGCGTTGAAAACGAAAAACGCCAAGCAAGACGATTGGTCAGAGATTGGATACGGCCGTGTCTGGTTGTGTTTGGCCGTGTGTTTGAAGACGGAAATTAGAGAACAACACCAAAACCCTTTTGAAGAAGGATGAGATACCAACAAAAGTATCAGTATAAAGAACAACTGAAAATAACAATCAAGATCAGAATCCATTTACATGATTTTACATGTAAAAGAACAGAACAACACCAATCAAGATCCAAAAGAAAACCATTGGAGGACTCAAGCCCATTGCCTAGAGGCGGTGAAACACCAAGCACTCGTCCGGTTGCTCTTCCGACCACGAAGCTTTCCACCCGATCACCAGCTTCAGCGCTGCAGGAACTACAAGATGCGCATGCCAGTGCAGCTTTTGAAGGCTGGCTCAACAGAGAATGCACCTGGACCCTCCAACTGGCCATTTCCACAGAACATAATTGAGTAAAAGCACCTGTTCAAGTTCTCGTGATGAGTGTTCCACTGTTTGTGTTTTTTTGTTATCTCCAACCGAAAGGTCGCTGGTTTTTTCAGGTTCCATTTGGCAAGTATGCATGCCTTCCCTCCAACAATCATGGAGGTGGACACGCCTTGTTCGTAGAGGATTTCTTGGCCTTTCCGGCCATGTCAACCCACTGGGAGAAACATCTCCACGCTTAGGTGAAAGAGATCGTCACCGGATGTTTGTAAAGGAAAACAGTCTTTCAGGGTGCCATTCTCAGGGTCCATGTTGGTTTTCGGGAGTGTAGTTTCATGATGGATTGGTGGTTCATGATGGATGAAGATACTAGAATGGAGGATTTGTTGTCATTGCGCAAAAGCATGATTGATTTGTTGTCATTGTTTGATTGGCATGTCGCATTGTCTGAAAAGCATTTCATTTGGCACTTGCTTCAATCAGAAGTTGGAGAGAGTGATTTGGCCCAACTGCCTTCAAGTCCGACATTGGGGCGTCTGGAATATCTTGGCCGAGGCCTTCAGAGGCTCCAACTTGTGAATGGATCCAAGCAGAGCTTATCTCGATATGGATTGGGTTTGTCCTATGACCCGTACCAGTCGGCAAACAATTACAATTTCAGGAACAAAAGGGCCTGCCGCCACCATCATCCACTGCGCCCATGATATACCCCAATGATATGGAGGATATATGGACTGCCGGGCGGAGGTTCTGACGACGTTGGAGCGAGAAGTCTCATTGGACGTGGGACGTAGTCTTGCGACGTTGAACAACTCCAGCTCCAGCCGATGAAAATCAGAAGTGGCTGAAAACTGCGCCAGTGGCTGAAACTGCCGACTACTGTTCATGAGTATGATCAGTATGAATGCCGACCAGTTCGCCTATTTGTTGCCCAAGATGCTCGTGTCACCCCCTAAAAAGAAACGATGACCTTCTCGTGTCGTGTTTGAAGCAGTGCAGCCTTCGGGAGTGACTCGTGTCACCTCGTGTCACACACGTTGCCCCGGAAGCCATGTCGAGGCTTTGTGTTGCATGAGGAGCAGCCGAACCACCGGGAGGTCTTTCCGGCTTGGTTCGTCGGTTCAGGCGGTTTTTTTTGGTGTGCAGTGCATTTCAGGCCACACATTTGGGCCGCCATCTTCTTCGGCAAGGTTGAAGCCCCCCCTAGGTTGAAGCCACTGCCAGGCACTTTTGCTTCGGATTTGGGCATGGAACTGGACCAAAAAGGACTTCTGGTTCAGACAGCCGATCCCAGACTCACCAAGCCCCCCCCAAAAAGAGCGATGGAGGGACGGACTTGGCGGTTGGGCGGTGCACGGCCGCCTTGGCGGTGCAGATTGGACCTGATTGGATGGACCTTTGCGTGTCGGGACCATGACAGGTGTCGGGACGATGGTGTCGGAGCGGGTTGCTAAGGCTTGCGCAGTTGCGCAAGCTCCAAGAAACGCCGGAAGCCATAAACGACCCCAATCGGCTCACGTCACGGCTCCGAAGGCTCCAAGTGTGACACGAAAAACGACCCATCAACACCCGACCCAATTCTACCGCCTGGCACGTGACAGCACGTGCCCGCGCACGGCCCGTAGCGCGTGGTTCAAGTCCAAGCGGTGGCGAATCCGGACGCCAAGGCCGGATGGAGACGGTTTCGGAGCGCCTGGTGCAGACGTGACCTTTTGTTTGGGAAGAAGATGTTGCAGACCAGAGGAAATCCTTTCAACGAATCCGTGATTCCCTGAACATCCCCCCAAAAACGGACTCGTTTTTTGGCATTCTCCGTCATCGATCGTGCATGAAAGCTTCCAAAAATGAAAGACACACACACACCGGCACGGCATGGGTCTAAGCCTCTAAAAGTTCTAAATTCTGGCCGATTCCGGGGTCTTCACGCACCGGCACCGGAGGGGAGTAACACCGGGTCGACACCCCCCATCGACTCCAGGCACAGCATGCGCATGGAGCGCATGGCCATGAGCCGTAGGGGGCCATAGACTCACAGCGAAGTCGATGACAAGCTGTCTTTGTTGCGCTGGCACTGAGCCAGTGGCAGCACACCCCACTACAGAGTAACAAATGCCTGAAGAAGAATTTGCGGATGACCTGGCACGATTGGTCGTGCAAAACAATGGTTGCTCGTAATTCGAAGCATAAATTCTTCATGGACCACGAAAATCCAGCCAGAAGTGAATTGGCCTGGACAGTATGATCCAACACTGGAGGGCTCCAAACACCAACATCTGCTCTGAGAAAAACAGACTGACACTACCTGAGATAGATTGATATAATTAGTGATACATGATACACCTCTGTTTATTTTGAGAAATTCTTTTCGTGACATTCTTTCTGCCAAGCCTTGGACCGGTTTTTCACGTCAGCGATGGGATCCAGAGGCCCACGAGTTGAGCTTCTTCTTTTCGGCGGGGGATCGGGTTCCCCATTTCTGTTGGGCGGATGGGAACTCAGAACGGAAACGGATTTGCATTGGAATAACCCCCCTGCAGATGATCATAGACCCTGAAAACCACTGGAGGTACCCAGCCTAGCTGTTCTTTATTGATCCGCCAGCCTGGAGCGACCCAAAAAGCCGGTGCTGCAGCCTGTGACTGAACTGCTCCTTTCATCCGAACGCGAAGCTTCACCTCGCGCTGCGCCATGAAGCTCGCAGTGCTCCTCTTGGCGCCGGCACTTCTGGTGGCGGAGGAATGCGAGCAGAGCACACTTTTGCAGAAGAACCTGGTGGGACACCGAGACCGGAGCATGCCGGGGCCAACCGGATGGGGCAGGGATTGAGGTAGGGCTTTGACCTGGGGCTTTGAGGTAGAGCCGATGTAGACATATATACATATATATATATATATATATTCCCCACTGAAGGAGGATGAAGATGGACCTTGACCACATGACTTGTCAATTCGATTTGCAGAGGATGTTTTGTCATGGAACAGCTGAAATCATCCTGCTGTTCTGTGTTTTTTTTTTTCAGTTTTTTGCAATTCCTTCAGCCAGTGGGCTTGATTTTTTTGGGTCGTTTGGAAGATGTGCAAGACCCTCAGAGGTCGTTCGGATAGGGATTGCCTTCCTGGGTGTGAAAGACAAGCAACTTGGAGAAGGTGGGGGTGAGGAATAAATGTAGAGACGCACAATGTATGCAACAGTATATTACACTTAACCTTTATCCCCGACCATCCACGCAGGGATTTTTTTGAAAATAAAAATAGGGTCATACATGGGGTAAATGTGTAGTGCAACTATTTCCATGCACGGATGGTCTGGGTATGGTAATAAACTACAACATAAACGGAATGTAATCAACCGTTCACTGAACCTTGTGAGCAGGGATAATACGAATACCATGTCCGAACGTGACATTGGGATCTCAATTTAGCCAGTGGACAGTTAGGATTAGGAATTTTTGAGTGTGGCAGATATACCAGATGATTGAAGGACCCTTTCCAACCATGAAATGTAACATCCTCCTGAAGGCTGCGCTCCTACTGCTCAAAGCCAGACAACCACGAAACACCCGCTTCTAAGTAACACATGTGTCACTCGACCTATAGAAAGACCAAGAGTCAACGGCCTTACCAACCACCAGAACGAGCCTCCTCAACATGCTTCCTGAACACCACTGTCTATTCTCCCTCTTGCATCTCATCCATACACCTCGAGATCAATACACACAAGGTACGGCTGACCGGTTCCTGTTCTTAAGCAAAAAGCCGTGGCACGGCCGGTTCCTGTGCGTTCTTCTGCTTCTCCTCACCGAAACACCGCTTCGTGACCCGTGGCGAATGATACAGGCTGCTCTCAAGGAGCTGAAAGAGAACGGGGTGGACACCAAGGAGGGCATCCCGGGCTTCATGGCCCCTGGGCGCAGTCCGCCGCCGAACCCGCGAGCCCGCGAGTCCGAAGGAACCTGCGCGCGCGCGAACGAGTCATCGGCAGACGCAGAATCCAGCGAACGCGGCGATTTGGGTGGCCTCGCGATTGGGAGTTCTGTTTTTTCGTTTTTATTGTGGCGCACTGTCAGGGCAACACGCATGTGATGGCCGTCATTTTACCCAAAGAAAGGACACATGAGAATCCCAATCGCAAAAAGACCAACGCATTTTAAGTCAATTGCTTCAAAGGGGGCATCCCTACGGATTTGGGCCAAGATAAACACCGCGAAAAACCACGACCTTTTCGTCGGCACGTTCATCCCCCATGGAGGTCGGTGATGAAGTCCCCAGCACGGAAGTTGCTGACCCATTGAGGCTCAATTGAGGCTAAACCCATTTAATCCTGGAGTACTGCAGCTTGGGTTAACGGTGTTTTCACTTTGTTCTGGTACTCTAAGCAATGAAAAATCCGTTGGCCAAACCGTTGGACCTCACGCACCAGGCACCCCGGCCGCCACCGTGCCATCCTCACCCCCGACCCGGGTGAGGCTCAGATGGGCCTCAACATGGCCGTTACGACGCTGCAAGACGCCGCGGACGCGGTGGACGCCGTGCCTTCGCTGAAGCGAGCGAAGCGGCGCACCCCCGGCGCCGGTCCACGTGGACTGGTCAGTCCCGTCGGTACATGGTGTGGATCTCAAGCAGAGTCGTATTGGAACAACCCAAAGTGGTGTTTGGTTGTTGAGGTTTCGATGTGCTTCCTTGGATTTGCGAAAGCACTGTCAAGGAAATGCGCCGTTCGCCGCCGAACCGGAAGACCGAAGGGTCGGTCTCGGCAAAGGGAGTCTACCAAAGCTGGTTCTTGGTGAATGCGTGCACGAAGGGTCAAGTAGCCCGTTTCCCTTGCCCTTTTCTTCCAAACTGAGGAGAACATACTTCAGAGAACTCTTTTTGTTGTCGTGCATGGGTGTTCCAGTCGGCTCTCCACAAATGCTTTTCTGCGGCCCCGTGGGACGTTGATCTTTGAGGCCTCCAGTTTGCACTCTCTCCGCCTCGTCGCTCCTGCCACTCCTACTATCGTCGATGCTTCAGTTCGCCAGGAGGTGAAGTCGTCGAAGAAGTCCTTGGGCAAAAGCTTGAGTGGCAAGTTCAACGTCAATGCCTGCACAAAAGACAGCAACAAGAAGCTGAGCCTCTTGACCTCAAAGCCCGATTTCGGTGGCTGGAATGCTGGCTGGGTGGTGGCGTTTTTTTTTTGTCCTTCACCAGGCAACTGGTGCGATCAATCACTGCTTCATATACGGTGTGACTTTTCCCCCTGTGTGGGTGGCAAACCGTGGCAGGATCAGTGTGGAAGCCCCACCCGTGGGCAGCAATCTTCACCGCCACCTTCAGGTCGTCGCTTCACCTGTCGTCGGTATCACAGGAGCCACTTGGGCCAATTGAGGACTTAATGGAACCCTTTCCTTGCACTGCTCCAAAGATCACAAGGCTTCGAGGAAGAGGGTCCACCCTTCTGATGAATTCCCTTGGCCATTTGATGCAATTGCTGGGTATGACTTGAGTGCTGAAACTCAATTAGTAATTACTGTATTATATATAGAGGTTAAGTCAAGAAGAGGGAATCCTCCTTATGAATTCGCCAAACCAAATGGATCGATCTGGGTAGGACATCGTGGGAAACAGCAACGCAAAGCCACCGGCAGCCGCGCTCTTGTCTCGTTGTTCAGTCTGCGCCGTTCGCCCGTGGCGCCGCCCCTACCCCGGCGCATCGCCGTTTAGGCCACGTGTTTAGTGCCCTGCAGTCTGAGTTGGAGAAGGGCGTCAAGACTGTCGGGCTGCCCAGTGCCCTTCCGCGCTGGTGCGGAGTGCCCTGGTTGGGTGGGTCATTTGTGTGGTTTGTGCCACTTGAAGAATCACCCAGCCGCGGTTGCATATGTTAACATCTTTCAATGTGAATGGATGGCTGGGTAGGGACACATTGAGATCTGAAACACTTAGGTTTAGACTCCAATCTTGATGCTGGCTTAAGATCGTGAGCCCTTTTTCGCTCACATGGGTTTTTGTGGATCCTTTTGGTTTTGGAGTAGGCAACAAACACCATGTTTTTCTCGTTCTGTCGTTCCATGAGCTCTCTGGTTTCATTCATTCCTATCGAACCATTTCAAGAGAAAACGCACATGTAAAACCATTTCTTTCTCATGTAAAATGTCATCTTGACCTACTTGTCGACGGGAGTTACCGCCATCGTTTGAAACCATGCTCTTGCGCAACTCACCGGCGCCTGCACCTGGACGTTTCTGCCGTGCGTCGACCAGAGTCGATGCGTCGCGGCGAGTCGATGAGGTCAAGGCGGGCTTGTCCACGGTGGGCCTCTCGTCCTCTTTGACCCAGTTGCAGGCGTGTGGCATGCGCGTGGCATGCAGGGGGACGGTGATGTGGCATGCTCCTCGAATGCTTGAAGCAAATCTGGAGTTCCTGAAGCTAGAAAGGAGAGACTGTTGGAACACCAAGCGTCCCGGTGGCTCTTGGTTGGAGCGAGCTCGAGAAAGGTTTTGTTGATTGTTGATACTCTTCCCCAAACTTTCAAGAACTGATATGGGGATGGGTCAAGACCTATATAGAGCCCCGCTCCACCATGTAAGGAAAGTGAGTTAGACCGACACCAGGTAGGTCAACCGGTCGGCATCGCCACACCTAAACGAAAGCGAACTGGGCCGACCTCATCGGGCCGACCTAGGGCGATGGTGCGCGGGGTGGCTTCTATCGCCGTCCGTGGAGGGACGGCAGGTTGATGACCGTTTTGGGGGATTTTTGAAGAGTAAGAAAGCATGCAAAAAGCTGCATGGCTTGTGAGGGTATTTACTTCCGCGGTGGAAAAAAGGAATCTAATTTTTGTTGCACCATCCTTTTTGTCGTTCACTTCCCAAAAAACACAGCCAAACCAGGATCCGGCGGCACTCAGTCCTGTCCCGCGCTGAGTACTTCGACGGCGGAGAGACTGTCCGGCAGGATGCCATGGATACCGCCACCTCGCTCGTCAAGGACATGAAGAGCGCCTGCAAGCTGCCAGTCCCGCCCCAGGCTGAAAACAGGGACAACACGTGGAAAACAATACGTGGATCATGTGGAAAAAATCGCGGAAGGCGCACATGGACCAAAGTGGGGAAAGCGTGGAATGCGTGGACTGTTTCCTTTTTTTCTCCGCTCGCGCGAGGAGGGGATTCCCGCGGTTTTGAGCCATTTGGGGGTTGATGGATGTCCCTTTTTTGCAGGTTTTTGGGGGGGTTGAGAGAGGAAAAGCGTTCTGGTGGACATCCACAACCTGGCCAGAATTAGTTGACAAAGTGGAGAGAAATTGGGCATCGAAAAGACAAGTGGGAGACCAATCTAACCAGCGAACGGTCCACTTTTTGTGGCCTTTTGAAGGGAGGGCCATTGAATTTATGTTTGTTTTTCGTGGCTTCTGGCTTCTGCGGCTTTTGGCTTTCGTGGCTTTCGTGGCTTCTGGCTTCTGTGGCTTTTGGCTTTCGTGGCTTTCGTGGCTTTCGTTGCTTTCGTGGCGTCTGGCTTCTGTGGCTTTCGTAGCTTTCGTGGCTTCTGTGGCTTTTGGCTTTCGTGGCTTTTGGCCTTCGTGGCTTCTGTGGCTTTTGGCTTTCGTGGCTTTCGTGGCTTCTGGATTCTGTGTGGCTTTTGGCTTTCGTGGCTTTCGTAGCTTTCGTGGCTTCTGTGGCTTTTTGCTTTTGTGGCTTGTGGCTTTCGTGGCTTTCTAGCCTATGCGAAGGAAAGAAGGAGGGAAGGAAGGAAGGCAGGAAGGAAGCAAGGACGAGGCGTGTGGCTTGTGGCCTTTGAGGGTCAAATATAGAGGAGGAAGGTGCAAGCCGTTTGTAACTAAGCGACCCAGAGGTAGAATTTAGATGAGAAAAGTGCTGGTCCGACGGTGCAGACCTGTAAATTCCGGCGCTTGCTCTCAGTGCCGGTATGCTGACTATACTTTGTTTTCATTGCCGGGGAGGCGCAGCCCTCCCCCGCCCCCCCTCCCGCTTGCTGAATTTAATCCATTTTTTCAAACGGTCCTGACGAACGGTGACCCGCGTGACGCGGAATGTCCTGAAGCCGAACGGGTGGGTGGTGCCCCAAAAACGTCGTCGTTTCCTGGACTTCGAGGGACTTGTTTACTGGACGCTGTGGTTTCCGGGCGGCGAAAAAGCCCGAATCCCTCATGCCTCATGCTTCACCACGCACGGGATCGAGCATGACTTCCGTAACATGTCTCGACTTGATTCAAAACGCCAAGCCTCACAAAGCAAGGAGAAGCACATCACATTTGAGGGCCCAAGACACAAAACATGAGATGTTGTTACACAATCTTTGTGCGCGGCGTGGATCACCCGACACCTTCGCAGTCTGGGAGTGACCCGGCACGGATTCTTCGCTCCTCCAAACTGAGAGATCTTCACCGAAGCCGGTCCTTATCAACCTCCTTTCCGCCGCGGTGCACCCACAGGACTCCGACGTGGCGGCCTGCCAAGAGGCCGGCGAGACAGGACACACGACGCCTGGTGGAGCTGTGCGGCGGTGCGGCGAGGGTTTTTCGTTCCACCCGTTTGCTTTGGGGGGGACGTGCACGGATCATCGGGAACAGAGAACGAAGCGAAAAAGAAGGATGGATGGACGTTTAGTCCAGGGGATGTTAGCTGCTAAGTTCTCAGGATCTGAATGGTTCATGTATGGAAATCAGCAACTTCACTGACTGTTTGGTGTGGAAGTCACTGGATTGGCTTGGCTTAAGATGGTTGAGGATGGCTGAAGATCGTTGAAGAAACTGATATGCAGAATACCATGAGGTACACTTGCATAGCCCCAAATTGTAAACCTTCGCCTCAGCTGACTCCATTGCCCTGAGGAAACTGACGAATACTTTTGAGGCGCTCTCGGAGTCCGGGGTCTTTTGGGCGCGTTTGGTGTCTTGCTTCAAGAAGGTCCTTGCGGGGTGAGACCTTTTGGAACGAGGAAAATGACTGAACCCCCGGCAGTGGATTCTGACTCCCAGGTGGGGTCAAACTCAGTGATTGGAAGGTTCTGGGAAGATTAAGGCATGAAGATGACAGGTGAACTCCAGAATGACAGAAACTACTGAACGCTCCTTCCAACAACTCCATAGTATTCCATCGCACGGGGTCGCACGTTACGGGGTCTGACACAGTCTGCAACCCTGTAGCTTCCACAATCTGTGATATGACCAACATGTGATAGGGCCTAATAGGGTGTTTACTTTTGTAGGGAGACGCTCCAACCAAAGGGGTTTTAGTGGATGTTTGATCTTCGCAGGGGGTGATTTTAAAGGAGGACTCCAGAGCAGCATGGGTCTCACTTGGCTGTTTGTAAGTCGACATATCAGGTTAGCCTTAAGCCGAAGCGGCGCCGGTGATGAGTGTAATATATCCATTGGTTTTCGGGAGCATTTACAGGAAACCATGGCTTTAGACCCCAAAAACATCCAAAAACCTATGGGTTTTCTGAAATCCTGAGCAACATCATGCAACGTCTCATGTTTTATTGTTATTTTTATCTTTTTATTTTCGGGATTCAGGCCCCTTGAATCAATGGTGTGGGCTTTAGATCCCTCCGCTCCTCAGTGCAGGAGTGGATCAGCTCCGCGGCGAACGAGCTCCTCACGAAGGTGAGCTCCTCCGACAAGGCAGGGCGTCGGACAGCCGCGCGGAGAGCACGGAGAGCAAGGCGTCGGACGGCCTGAAGGCCAGATGGGCCTACGTCCCACCGAGCCCCACAACACGGATTTTCCACCGGACACAAGCTGCGGTGCGGAGTCTTTTTCGGGCCCTGCCTGAGTGGAAGAACTTTGGGAGGTCTGTGAGAGAGGTCTTTTGGGCGGAGGAAACATCCAAAAGTCCATCTCAGACTCAACCTGAGACAATTTGCTTAGGAAATAAATAAGGAGTTTTGGCGCATGACTTTGCCTGGGTTGATTTAAAAAAACAGGTCGATGACTTTTCCTTGCCCCGGTTTTGCTCCGGGCATCCCTTCGATAAAGGAAGGCCGCGTCCTGCGTTTCTTCACCACCGCTGGACTCCGTGGTGTGGTGCTGAGTGACCCTGTTGGGACGGTGGCTCCCTGTTAAAATGTTGGGACGATGTTGGGAAGATGAAGCCTCATGAGACGAAACAATTGCGGGTGTTTGGCAAGCAAGGAGGTGTTAGATTCCTTGCCTGAGGAGGACGTCAGACTCCTCGGCCTGTGAGATGTCATCATGACACCATGATCTCCCCATAATAGTTTCATGATATGTGAGGAATATGCGCCAGACACAGGTGCCAGACATCTCACGACATCTCAATGACTGACATTTGCACGAACCCATGGATGTCACCCTTTCGCAACCCGCTTGTCACCCTTTCGTCCCGCGGTTCCGTCCGACTCTCCGCGCTCCGTGCCGTCGTCGTTTGACGCGGTCCCTGCGGGTTGGCTCCGCCGGAGAGGCGTCGATGCGGAAGTACAACAAGCAGAAGGTGCCGGAGACGCTCGGAACAGGTGCCCGAGGGTGACCGGCGCACCGGTGGGGAGCTGACGCCCCTTGTGCCGGTCCGCTGGATCCAAAACCAGCAGAGGCTGGCAGGCCTAGCCACATGGGGAGGCAAGATCGAAGAATTCGGTGGCATTTGGGTTGAAGCGTGGAAAGATCCATTTTCCTCTCCAAAAGTAAGGGCTGGGTAGGGGGTAGGCCGATTGAAGCCAGCAGGAATTCACCGGAGCCGGTTAACAGCAAGGTCACTCACCTGGGCATGTCAGCCAAGATGGGAATTGTTGGTAACGTGGGGAGCAAACCACGAACCGAAGCTAGGTGCACGAAGTCCTAGACAAAATCGTTGAACGGAAGGGCCGCAAACCAACGGCCGTTTTCAAGCCATCGCTCGAGTGCGTACGCGGCCCGCCCTGTGTTTTGAGGCGGCGCGCGAGTTCAAGGTTTCATGTTCAAATTCTATGTTGTGTAGCACACTTCAAATTCTATGTTGTGTAGCACACAACTCACACGGGTGCAAAAAGGGCTGTTTGTTCAGCCAAAACAAAAGTCATGCTCGTGGCATCTGGCATCTCGTCTACCAGTTGACATTCGAGCTCACTGCCGTGCCGGTCAGGTCACCGTGGACATTCTGTGCCCAGTGCACACCTTCCATCTCGGATTGTGGCGTGCATTCCTCAAAGAACGGATGGGCACATGCCTTGCATGGTTGCCTGGTGTATACCAGGTTGGCAGTGCGTTGTCCAACGCAGGCTCTGCTTGCATGCCAACAGCCTCCCATGCTTGCCAGGTACACTGGTTTCAGCGATGCCTGTTGCTTTGCCACTTTCAGCTTCTGGTCGAGCATCCTCTGCTGCTCATCCTTCAGCTTTTGTAGTTCTCGATGCAAGATCTCTTCGTGCCTCCGGGTATTTTGGTACTGGTGCTGTGCCAGTGCTCATTCATTCTTGAGATTTGCTACTTCCTCTGTCAAGGCCATTTTGTCTTTCCTGAGTTGAATCAGTCTCTCTTCCTCCAAGCCAGTTCTGGTCGTTTGGGCGCTCATTTCTCGTGTTGTCCCCCTTTTCTCGGCTGCGTGTTCCTTTCGTGTAGTTGTTGGCGTCCAGGTCATAGTCCAACCATTGCTGCATTTTATGCAGAACCAAATGAACATGCCGATCATCAAGGTGAACAGGATCATCAGGACATATTCCATCTTGTCATACTCGTCATGGTCATAGTTTTCCACCTTCGTTCCATAGGTCTCATTTATCTCCCATTCTGCCTTTGCGGAACTCATGAAGTGAGTTGCGAACATAGCGAAAAGTGCTCGCTCTGGCTTCTTAATGGCATACATGTTCTCACCTTTCTTGCGGCTTGCCATGTTCTTCTTCTTCGATGCCTGGAAATTGTCATCACTTGTGAGCTTGGTCATGTGTGTTCTCAGGCGTTGACCAAGTAGTGGAGCAGCTGCATCTTTGGTGAGGCCATCTGCATATTGGAGCTCCGATGATACCCATCGTACTTTACCATTGCAACATGCCAGCTTGTCTCTGCAAACCAAGGCTTCAATGGTGGTCCTCTTGTCAGCTCCTGTTGCAGCTTGGATTTCATCCTTCACCAGGATGTCATATAGGGCCTTGGCGTCCACGACAAGTTTTGGGCTGTTTGCCAAGTAGCCGGTGCTGACGTTGTCCAGGGGCATCAATGCTCTGAAGATGAGGTTCCAGAAGAGTGTCGTGTACATGAGGCTGTCAGCTGCTTCACTTGCTGCCTGGCTTTCGGCTGACAAAGTGCTTCTCGACACTCGGGGCAACTTCCAGCTTCTCCAATCCAGAACGTTATAGTGCCCTTCACACTTGCCTTCTGCAACATCCCGATGACACATTGCCAGTATGTATCCTCCTTGACTGCTCAGGTCGCATCTTGTCGCGAAGGAGGCATCACTGTAGGCAATGAAAGTCATCTCATCTTTTGAGCCCAGTTTTCTGTACTGTAGACCAACGTCGGCATACTCTTTGGCATAGCGTAAGTGCTTGTTGCCCTTCTGCAATGTCTCGATCGTGGCTCGTGATGTTTCTCCAGCTAGCTGAGAAATTCCAACTTGCAGATGGGGGGCACTTTGTGTCGCTGGCCATTGTAGGCCTCCGATTAGGCCTCGTAGCAGGGATCTTTCTTTCTCAGTGACCGCCAGGGAGGTGTCTCTCAGCCTTTCCTTGGTGATAGGAATTGGCTTCACCTTGTGAATGTATTCCTCCTGCTTCAGCACGATCACTTCATCCTTCTCGCAATCAATCTGGCTCCCACAATACTCAAGCTTGTTGCCGTCCTGCCACTCCCTAAAGGTGAAGATCTCCTGCAATTTCTTCTTCACATCTATGAAGTATTGATCTTGTGGGTCTCCGCAACCTACCAGGTCGTCCACATGGATTCCGAAGATGCAGGCAAGATCTCTTTCCACCATGGGGTCCATTGCTCGTTCAGCTGGCAAAGGACGGTACACAAGAAATAGGCATGGATCCAGTGGATGTCGTTGGATATCACCACCTCCGGCCCTCAGAATCCTTTCACTTGCCTCCTCATACCAGGCTCTCGGGGCATCACATAGTCCATACATTGGCTTCACCAGTTTCATCAGCGTTGAGTCATCTGGTTGTAGTCCCAAAAGTGCTTTTGCATCCTTGGGCAGTTTGATCCAGATCACTCTGTTCGTGCTTTGATCGAAGTTCTTGCCCTGCAAGAATGCGGTGGTGATGTCACTGGTGAACATCTTCCAAGTGTAGAGCTGGCAAATGGACAAGATCATGCCTCTTGAGAGTCTGGTCAATGTTGGTGCATTTGTGTTGAGATTGCCGGAGAGGGCATCAGGATCCTTGAATCCCTGAGTGATCAACCTCGCTTTTGCACGAGGCGTCCCGTCCTCGTTCTTCTTCCAGGTCAGGATGAAGTGTGCCTTGAGGATCCTTGCTGGGTCGGCATTCCCTTCTTTGTCATAGAGCCAGACCTCGTTCTTAAAGAAGCTCTCAAGTTCCTTGATCTTGGCCTGCATAAAGGCCTGTCGATCGGACACCGACATGTGTCTCTCATACACTTCATCTTTTCCTTTCTTCTTCTTTGTCATTGGTTGATCTCCTGGAAGTCGATAGGACTTGTACCCCATGCTCTTCTGGCTGTAGTCCTCCTGTGCCTTCTGTCTCCAGTTTGGTTTGATCTTAAACTTCGTCTGGCCAGTCCAGTAGGCGGACTCGATCATCTGATTGGCACTGTGACGTTTCCAACGGTCCTTGTAGGTGCCGTGGGATGTGGCAGTCACCCGCTCCTTGGCCAGGTAGTTCAGGTCGATGGGACAGGTCTCTTCTGTAGGTCTGAAGGCTCCCTTGCGAGGTACATAATGATTTCGGATCAGCCAGTTTCCTTCAATCGTCCACTCATCTGTTGGGGCATCCAAGCAAAGCCATCCTCCTTCTACCTTCCATCCAGGTGGTAGATCAGTGACTGACTGGACATCGATGTCGATCTGCATGTTCATCTCCTCGGGAGTCAACTGATCATAGGGTGTACTTCTCGATGTCTCGGACCGAATGGGTCCGTAGGCTTTTGGCTTGCTTAAGAATGAAAGAGTCTCTTGTTGATCGACCCTCGTCCTCTGAGCCTTGAAGCTCTCCCGATCTGGTCCATCGTACAGTCTCTTCTGATGTTCGGGTACTTCAGGAACTTCAGGCGGCTGTAGGGCTTCAGGGTTGTCCTCTCTCACTTCCTCTCCTGTTGCCTCAGGTGATTCATGGCTCGAATCTGCAGGGGCTCCTCCTCCTGCTGGTACGAAGGAACTCTGTCCTCCATTTTCGGGCTCAATAGTCTCTTCACCATCCTGAGGTGGCTCGTTCTCCTTGTCTTCCTGGTTCTCCGGATCTGGTTCACCAGGGTCTTGAAGGATGTCTTGGACGATCTCCTCGATGTCTGAATCCTGTGTCTCCACAATGGTGAAGGTTGTCGTCCCGGTCCAGGTGTAGTGAAGAGATCTCCCTGCGTCTAGTCTTCTCCACTCATCTCTAAGACTCACCCGTGCTGGGTGTGGGGGCTTCCTTCTCACTGTCGTCACCCTTTCATCAGTGAACTGAGCCGTTGGGATGTCATCATCCTGCTCAGGGACAAAGAGCTCCCTTCTTGGACGGTTGTGCACCCGAGTCCAGACTCTTCGATCATCACTCACCTGCCAGGTGTCCTCCAGGCCCTCGTCCTCTGATGCATCTTGGGCGCCATCTTGATCATACTCCTCTTCTTCATCTCCACTTGATACTTCATGCCTCTGCCGCTTGTTGGACTTGGTCAAGTCAGTGTACTGGGTTGTACCTCGGCTTCTGAGGCTCTGAAGGGCTTGTTGTGCTCTGAAGAAAGGATCATCTTCCTTCACCTTTGGCGCTTCTGATGCAGGGACAGGTCGAAGATGTTCCGGTGCCGCTCTCAACAAGTTGGTACCGTGGACAATCCAGTAGATGGTGCTGTAAGGTCCTGCCTCCAGTTGTTCCACCATCACCACTCGTGCCGGTCCCCTCCATCGAAGTTTGGGTCCAATGCCACCAGGTCCATCACGGTAGTAGTAGCAAAGGTCGCCCAATTGGTAGGTGGCCAGCTGTCCCATGTACTTCCTGTTGAGTGCCCGTCTCAACCTTGTATCCACATCTGCAGAGAATACGGCATTTGCTGCTGCCTTCTGGCTCTTCAACTTGTTGAGGAACTCGTCAGATGGTTCCAAAGTCGGTGGAGACAGAGGCTCCTCTGTGAGCAGTCCTGGGACATGGGGAGTGTATCCCAACACCCACTGCACTGGGCTGTATCCTCGGACATTTGTGCTCCGGTTGATCTGGGGAACCACGTAGCATAGAGCTTGTATTAAATTAGTCGTTCTCGTGGTTCATGAGGAAGCTTCACGTCCCCTTCTTCCTGATCTGCGAGGTACAGTTCCAGGGCACGCCTTGTGACTTGGTGTCGTCTCTCCAGGATTGCAAGGCGGGTGTGGCTTTGTCCTGGCGATATCGGCAGTTCCACTCCCTGTTCTGAGCACCAGGATCGAACGTAGTCCGAGCTCCAGCTTCGGTGGTCATCAACCTGCAAAGTCTTCATCGGGCCAAAGTTCCTGATCCATGCTCTTTCCAGGGCCAGAATGAACTCATCTGGTGACTCACGGAGGAGTACTCTTCCTCCAAGGAATCTCGTGGCAGCATCGCTGATCATCAGCACTGGTAGGGCCCGTCGGATGTTGGGAATCCGGATCCACAATGTGTCTGCCTGGACTCGGCTGTTGAATTCCTGAGCATTGGGAACAGAGGAAACTGGTACTTGTGGTCGTCGTTGGTGCTGGGCACAAACAGTGCATTCATGTTCCCGTGCACATTGAACATGCACATCAGACGCTCGTTTCATCTCCAACAGCCTGATCAACTCGGCATTTGTGGGATGTCCCAGATTCCGATGAAGCCGACTCACCGTTCTCTTTGCTTGCTGGCGATCATGGGCATGCAACCGCTGTAGAACTCCAGTGGAGTGTGCATTGTCTTCTCGAGGACCCTCAGCTGAGGGATCATCTCCTCGAGCTTCTCGTGCGGGAGCGTGCAGTGGCTGTGCATCATTGGGCTCAAGATCATCCATAGCTTCGCGGTCTGCTATTGTTGGCGTGTACTCCTCATCATCCATCTCATCAGCAGCAGCCACGAAGTCATCAGGCTCATAGTAGAGCATATCAATTGCCTCTCCAATGTAGTAGCAGAAGGTTGGTTGGTAGGCTCCTGCAGCCTTTGTCAGAGATCCCACTCCTGGTAGTGATCCTTCTAATGGTAGATGCTCATGGTCACCGGGACATCGCCATGCCAAGAAGTCAACCATTGAGGCACTGGTCAGCTGCAGCCTCGTGGGCTTCTTCACATAGTGGTCTGCGATCTTTGTGTCGTAGGCACACTGATCCAGCAAGCATGGCCAGCCTGCTAGCTTCTTCCAGGTTTTGGTGTCCCAAGCTTTGGATCCAGCAGGATGCTCAATCCCGGCGTCCCTTCCTTCGTTGTACTGAATGGTGAAGGAACGTTCTGCTACCTTCAGATGAACTGCTTCTTCATAATCTCGGTCGCATTGAAGGGCAAACTCCTGCTCGGGTGTCAGTGTGTTCAGCGCCTGCATGCGGGACCACTTTTTGCACGCAGGGGCAATCCAGATGAAGTCTGGGGAGATGTCTTCAAGCAACTTGTAGTATGCATTTCGATGGTCTGGAATGTCAAAGTCCCAGCCTGTGTTGATGTCAAAGCTGAAGACCATGTAGCCTCGTCTCTGCATCTCCAAAGACAGACCAGCTTCACCTGAGTACACTTCCCAGAAAACTTTCATGCCTTCTTCATGGGCGCGCAGTCCTTGCTCCAAAACTGTGCGTCGATGCGCAAACATCGTGGCATGATGGAACCGGATGCCTCGAAGCAGCTTATCCGTAATCTCCTTTCTCACAAGCGCCACTTCATCATCATCTGGAGCTTGAGGTGGTGGACAACCACTTGACTCTTCATCCGTCACGTTCTCATCATCTGCCTGTAGACAGTGCTCCGGTGGTTCTCTGCCTGTTGCTTCCAAATACTGGATGAGGGTGTAGGTGGACGTGTGCATGATGCCCTCTCTCTGGACCATCTCAAAAGTCTCCGTCGTGACTAGGTCGAAGTCCAACACCTTTCCCTCAGGGTCCTGGCTGACCCCTTCATCCAGCCTGAGCAGATACTCACCTCGCTCCCCCTTCACTGCAGGCTTCCAATCCTCTTCATCATAGCTGATCAGGTCCTTGTTCCAGTCGACACGGACCTTGAGGGCCTTCAAGATAGGCCTGCCGATCAGAAGCGGGGTTGAGCCATCCACCAAGAAGCATTCCACCAAGCCGGACTTGCCGTTGACATACACCGGGAGCTTCACTGTCCACTGTGCTTTCCTCATGGCATCACCTCCGAACCCAAACATCTTTGTAGTTGGGTGGAATGTATACCTCTCCAGGGGAACACCACATCCATGCATGTACTCGATGATCTGCATCAAAGTCTGATGTCCGCACACCATGCTGCTGGCTCCACCGTCCTGCAGACCATACCATCCATGTTCCGAGAGAGCTGGTAGTCCATGATCCTGCAAGTCATACATCATGTATGCTTGCCCAGTGCCCTTGTTGGCGGTGTCCGTCTTGGCTCTCTTCGGGGATTGGGAGGTCTTGTTCATGGGACATTCAGCGGCAGCATGTCCGTACCTGCCGCACTTAAAGCACTGCATGGTGTCCAAAGCTGTCCTTCCCCTGTTCAAGGCGGACCCCTTCTGAGGGGGGGACTTGTTCTTCCCCTTGCCCTTCTTGCCTTTTCCTCCCTTGGGGATTGGCCTCTGTGAAGTTGCCGTAGACGAACTGGATGAGGTAGGCATCTCAGGAGTCGTCAATGCCACCACTGGATAATATCCTCTTGAGGCCTTGATGTTTGCAAACTGCCTTCGTGCATCAAGGTATGTGGCATAGGCTTCCTCCAGTTGAGGATCAGGTTCATCGGCCCATCCATCATCCTGGTAGTAGAGCTCGTCGTCGATGGCCTCATACTCCTCAGTCTCGTCGTAGTTGGGCTCTTCCTCATAGGTCTCCTCCTCAAGAAGGGCAAATCCATCCTCTGGCTCTTCCTCGTACTCCGGGTCATAATCCTCTGCTGCATAGCCTTGTTGGCTCTTCCTTGGATACCATCGCTGACCTTTCCCTTTCGGGCTCTTCTGCCATTTGGTGCTCTGGTCAACTCGAGATCTATAGTCCTGGCCGAACAGGTAGTACATGGCCTCTTCGATCTTTGCCGTTTTCATCTCGGCGCCGACCTGGGATTGCACGAGCTGACGCTGTTCCAAGGTCAGTTGGCTTCTCCTCAACAACATCCAGCCGGAAACGCTGTCCGGCATCTTGATGCCGAATTTCTCGATTTCTCGCAACTGCTCTCTGTGTTCTGAGCAGTATTGGAGAAGGGTTTGGTCTCCCCTCCTCGTGAGTTGATAGAAGAACTTCTCCAAGGCTCTTGGCATTTCGACACGACTGTCGTATTTGAACGCTGCATCCAGCGTGACCAACACTTTGTCGAAGCCGTCGGAGGACTCCACAACACTCTCAACCAAGTGTTCAACTTGTTTCCAAGCCACTCCATGAAGACTTGTCAGCAAGTTCAAAGTGGCTTCCTTCTCCTTGCCCTGCAAAGCAAGCTTGCGCTTGTACAGCAAGATGCGCTGTCGCCATTCCCGGTAGTCGTTGACACGGTTGTTGAAGATCGGGATGTAGGTATCTCGCATCGCTTCAATGGTCCCACCAGCCACCGAAGATGTAGTCGACGGACCCGAGGCTGAAGGTCCATCCCCTGGAGCGGGCATTGAGCGTGCCACGCTCCGCTACCAATGTTGGTAACGTGGGGAGCAAACCACGAACCGAAGCTAGGTGCACGAAGTCCTAGACAAAATCGTTGAACGGAAGGGCCGCAAACCAACGGCCGTTTTCAAGCCATCGCTCGAGTGCGTACGCGGCCCGCCCTGTGTTTTGAGGCGGCGCGCGAGTTCAAGGTTTCATGTTCAAATTCTATGTTGTGTAGCACACTTCAAATTCTATGTTGTGTAGCACACAACTCACAGGAATATTCAAAAAGCATCAAAAAGCAACAAACCGCACCGGGTGGTGATTGGATGGAACATACATAGGAATCGGAATCGAAGTGTCCAATCCTCACCACCCTTTCACAAGCTTTCACGGAGTCGTGGTGTACCAAGCAGTGGCACCATCCCAAAGGGTCCAGGCGCTCCTCCAGCCGAGCCTGGACATCCCTGGTACGCGGTTGCAGCGGCGCCTGGTGATGCCGGGCGCACCAACGCGGAGCCGAGCCTCCGTCCAGTCCGTCGGAGAAAGACCCAGGACCACCAAGATCGTGGATGATATGGGCCAGGGCGTTCAGAAATTGATTGACGCTCGGATGAAAAACCGGAACACGAAAGGGGAAAGCTCGGATGGAAAAGGATGAAAAGATGGACGCTCGGGTTGTTTTATGAAGACGAAAAGCAAAACAACTGGAAGTTTGATGAGGTTTGGCTGGGTGACCAACAGCTTTGCTGATGTTGTTGGAAGAGTCCTTGAAACATCGTACTTCTTATTATTAAATCTGATTAAATCTATTATATTTTGGCTATTGTAGTCAGCTCAAGAACCAGACACATCTAGTTTTGCTTGCGGTTTACTTCCGAGCGATGCCCTTGTTGTCGTTGAACATTTCTTCGTCGTTGCAGCCCTGGGAGACCCCGTTGACCAGAGATCCCGTGGCCTCGTCTCCATCCGCCCAGCTCCTTCGGGCGTTCCATGTCTTGTCTTCCAGAACAGTGGAGCGCCGTCGGGCAGAAAAGGGTTGTCGTTGGGCGGTCAACCGCGATTTGTTGCTTTTCTGGGTGGGGGCTGGTGTTGATTGATTCTTTTTGGTTCTGAGCTTTCCTATCCCTTTTTGTGGATGTGATCATTTCATATCATTTCCACCTGCTGAGGATGGCATTGCCAAGAACCTCTCCTGACGAAGTGTCAGATCGCCCGGTGGTTTATTGATTCCAAGCGGCAAATGACCGTGTTAGTACCATCAGTGGGCGGAAAATCAGCGGCAGAAAGCGCAAGATGACTCAACATGGAGAGAAGTTGGGGGAAACTCATGATCTAGTAACTAGTAGTTCGCACTGACATCACACTTAACGACAAATGCGAGATTGACCAGTTTTGTTCCTTTTTTCCAGGGTATCGCCGGTATCGCATGTCATAACATGTCATAACTAACTACTCTGTCTGATGAATTCTGCTGATCGATGGAGGTCTTTGTCACATCTTCATCTGGATTTGGCGGAAACCAACGGGATCCAATTCTGCGTCGCGGTTCGATGTGGGAAACGACAGCTGCGGCAGCCTCTCTTCGGCTGCGGCGGCGTTTTGGGTCAATGAACCGGCGCCCAAAGAAGAACCACACCGCCACGGTTGATGCGTTGAACGTTTGTTCAGCTGATGTGTTGAGGCGCACGAAAGGTTGGGTCACAACAAATGCTCGAAGAAGTTGGGTCACTTCACAGGTGCTCTGAAACCGCAGGCCGGAAGAGTAGCGAAACTCGAGACGCAGAGTCGGCAGCAGCTTTTTCTTGCACGCCAGCCATTTTTGGGTTCCTCTTCTGCGTGCGATGCAAGACACCTGGGATTGCACCGCACGGCCTTTCAGCAGTGCTAAGGCTGGGCAGGGGACACCGCTTCGCACGCCACTTCGCGCGTTCGTCTTCAGGGCCCTTGGACCCATCGTTGGGGTGGCATGTTGACCGCGCCATGACTTCGAACGGAGAGGGCGACCGCGCCCTTCCTTGGTTTTCCCGCGAAGGACCAACGAAGCTTTTTCTTTTGGACGTAACCGCTCCGTTGGGGGTGATTGGACTGGACATGCGGAAACGAGCAAGCCACGAAGTCCACTGAGTGAGTCACTGTAGAGTGTTGACCTTTAGACTCAAGATGGTTTTGTTCATTCCCCTTTTCCAGAACTGTAGGGGGCGTTCATCCAATACATTCCACGTCGCACGTCGTGCCTGCCGGATCTTCTGGCCGAAAGAGACGCACGGTCGACAGAGCTATAGACAACGCCAGCACCGCAGTAGGCTACCTGCTGCGAGTCGTGTCAGTGCTGCGATGGCATGAAGCATATTCTGGTCCATCCACAACAACAGTGTTTCTGCAGTGCGCCAAATTTGTTGTACGCAGAACATTACATTATATGTTCAGTATCACTTATGTGAGCTTGTTTGCCCTCAAGCATCTTGGCTTAAGCTCAGCCCGCGCATGAGTGGTTGGGCGTACCTCCTGGAACTGACCAGAGAGCTACGCTGGGTGTGGCCCACTACTTCTTCGTGCTCTGGCCTGAGCTTGTCCTTTGTTTTACTTTCCACCCTACTGGCGTGCCTGGTGGGCTGTTGCCTGGGGGCTGTGCTGGTGCTACTAGCGGTGTCTACGACTTTCCGCAGGTGCTTGCAACAAGTGGTGCTCAGCGTGTGCACGCCTGCTGCTCCCCTGGTCACAGTACCTGCGGCTCCGGGGCTTCGGAGGAGGCTTGCTGAATACAGGGATAGTGCATGAGCCAACCGTCTGACATCGAGGCTTTGACGGTGCAGGTGGGAGGCCTCTCCATCCACATCTCGCGCTCCTCGAATCGTGAACAGAGCAGGCCTTCAGCAGCTGACAGTGAACCAGCGGCTAGTGAAGCCTCCTTTGACCTAGTACCCCTTGCTCGCCCCCCAGGGGGCACCGAGGTGCCGGATCTCGGCACAGCTGAAGCTGCGGTTGGTGAGATCGACGAGGCCTTTGTGGACGCCGAGCCTTGGAGTTGGGCGTGGGAGACTGCGCTCATCAGCGCCAAGCAGCCCCGGGAGTTCACCCGGGTGAGTCTCGCCCCAGTTCAGGGGCTGGTGAATCGTCTGCGAGCAACAGCAGGCGGCTGGACACCTCAAGCCCGCCTGGGGAGGGCATTGAGGTTGGGCATCATCGCCAAGTCGCGATTGGAGCGGCAGGCGACTATCTATCCGGCAGGGCCTGACATCCCGCTGGACAATCGAGTGTACGTCATCCTCCGCGGCCAGCCTGGTCGCTCATCAGGTTGGACAGATCATTACTCCACCTACTTGGAGGAGGTGCGTGGGCGCGCCTTGCGCTTCCACCCGGACGTGGTGTCCCACGCCTTTGCATCGAGGAGTGAAGCCGAGGCATACTGCATCGGGGCTGGCCAGCCATGGCCCGCTCCGCTGCCGCGCCGCGGCTGACGGAGGACGGGGTGAAGGCCCTATGGGGGGCCTCAGGACCTACGGGTCCGCTACCTGCTTTGTTTCTTCATCTTCCTGCTCGCGAGGATGGCACTGCAGTCCGAGCCGCTGCTTTTCTACTGCGGCTGCGGTCGGGCGGATTCATGGTGGCTGTGCCCGACCTGGAGGAGATAGCACACCTCCTGCAGGACCAAGAGCCCGAAGAGGAGGAGGTCGACCCTGTGGCATTGTATCCAACCTCCGTCAACATGGAGACGCCGAGGGGACGGTTTCTTGGCGAGGGCAGTGTCTTGTTAGCAGACTTGCTGTGGCCACTCGCTCGACTGTTCACTCGTGGAAGCCCACTGCGCTCTCAGACCATGGGAGAAGTGTTGCGGTTCACCTTCGAAGATCAGGCCGCCAAACCAAGTCGTGCTGGCTTGGAGCAGGCGGCCGATCAATGGATCCACGAGGCCATGGACGAGGACACCGCGGCCGACTATGTCACGGTGGATGGTGGGGCGGAGCCCGAAGCGGAGGAGCTTGGTGGAGAGCCAGCCGTGTACGACCTTCAGCGGCGGGTACTCGAACTCGAGGCCCTGGTGGCTCGTCACAACACGCCACAGTCCGGGGGGGGTGCAACCTCGTCGGCAATGGTCAAGCCACCGCCACCTCCGGGCGTGCTGTTCAGCCCGGGGCCTCTGACCCCGGACAAGCAGAACCTCACCATGACCGCGTTGAGACAAATGGCTGGAGCAGCACCCCCTCGTCTGGGGGCTCACGAACGAGCAGTGAGAGAAGGGCGACCAGTGCAGTTCCTCGAGACGCTGCAACAAGAAGAAGGACTGGAGGCTGTGGAAGCTCCAGAGCTGGAGGAGGGCTTGAAAGAGCTGGAAGCATCGACCACAGACCCTCTGCAGCGCATGCTCGTGTTGCAGATGAAGCAGATGCACCTCATCAGCAAACAGCATCAGGACAGGAAGACCGATCCTCTCCACGCTGCACTGGGCGGTTCAGAGACAAATGGGGCAGGTGCAGGAGTGAAGGGTTGCCTCGCCCGAGACGCCTATGTCAAGCTTGCGGCGGACATCGCCAAGGTCGGGAGCATCGCCCAAACGAATGCAGCTGTCGAACTGGGGCTCGACCCGCATCAAGTGGGATCAGGTCTCATGAGGGAGTACCTCGAGAAACGCTGCCCGTTAGGAGACCAGCGGCTTCTCACGCAAGTGGGCTACCTGTTTGCTTCAGCGTGGGAGCATGGATTCCGGACGAACAATCCGGATCTGATGGGGCATGCGGCTCGAGGCATGATCTTCGTCGACCAAGCTGCAACCGATTTTGGTCGGACCACTCTGGCTTGGCTCCTGACATCCCTGCCAGAGCCTCAGTATTCCATTGTTCAACGGAACAAGCACAAAGCATCCATGAGCCCATTCACACGCCTAGCCCAAGCTTCTTGGATTGCAGCAAATGTGTCCTACATGAAGGACCTAGACTACCTGGAAGGCAGGATCAAAAGCACCAACTCGTCCACAAACCCTCCACTCAAGAAGGAGGACGGCGAGGAAGGCCCTGCTGCCAAAAAGCAGCCATGGAAGAAGAAGAAACCAAAGCAGAGAGAAGACGCCTCCGGAGGAGGCAACGAAGGATGACTCAAGAGGTGGCAGGTGTCTCCCTGACTAGCGTTCCCCCTTTGCCGCGCTGTACTTCGTCAGGGCAGGGGGATTGTCTCCCCACTGCCACTTGCGGTCGGGGGGGGGCGTCGGCCAGCAGAGAGACACCCAAGACAGCCGCCGGATCAAGCCAAGAAGAGGGGAGTGAGGGGACCGCTGGACTCTCTGACGAGTGTTCTGCTGACTTCAACATTCATGGCTCTCCTCTACCCTCAACAATTCAGTGCACGCAACTCGTGCGCGCAGTTTTGCAAGTGGCCTCTCTCCCCAGTAGCTTTCAACAATTTGCTGCTCGGAGTATGAGGGAATTCCGCACCGTTGATGATGGTCCTGTTCAACAGAGGACCGACTTGTGGCCATGTCCCCCGCCACGCTGGCGGAGATGGACAGCTTCCCACACTCTTTCTCCAAGGCGTCGGAAACGCCACAGGCTGTTGGAAACACGAGCCTTGTGTGTCCAGCAGTTGGTTTTGGCCCTGAACTGGCTGAGCCTGGGGCAGCCCAGGTCTCCGCCTGTCTACGCTCGCGCCGGTTATCCAATGAGCGCGCAACAGCTGGCGATGATAGAGCGGCTGGAAGCACTTGTGTTTTACTACTTGGCTGCGCCAGCTGCTTCGGTAGATAGTTTGGGCCGAGCTGGGGAGAAACTGAGTTCGTTGGGTAAATTAGCTTTTCAAATGCAATCATCTTCAACTTCATTTAGTGTTGAGGATCTGACTAGTTTTTTAGAGAGCATTCAACACAGTCTCAATAGCTACTCTCGTAGACAGAAAGCAGACCCTCCAGAGTATGAGCCTCAGCTTGGGATTTCTAGGCAGGAGCAGGCAGTGGCAGTGACACCAGAGACCCGGGTTGTTTCGAGTTCGTGTAGTGCTAAACCCGTGATTGCCGAAAGGATAAAATGGAAACTTGCTCCGAGCTTCGATCCATCTCCTTTCCTCACAGACCCCATCGTGAGACGTGCTTTTGACAATCCGGATGCACTCCGCCGACCGAAGAGTGACTGGCCTAAGCTGCCACGTGCCAAAGTTCACGCTGACCGACAACAGGTTTTTGAGCTAGCTCAGAAATGGGATGCTTTGCAAGCCTGTCGCTTGGTCCGCTGCAGGGAAGTTCCAGCCGGAGAAGCAGTAGGGATTTTTGCTGTGCCCAAGGACTCAGAGTTCGATCGTTTGATTTTGAACCCCACT